ACTGGGCTCCGGCGTCCCTCCTGCCCCTCGCTCGGCCCCACGGCACATGGCAGGCCGGGACCCCCAGCCTCGCCCCTCCTCCAGTACCCGCAAAGCTGCGGGGGAAGGCACATCCCAGCCTGATGAGCATTACTAATTGTTCTACCTCCTGGTGCAGCCCGGTGCCCCGGGGGGCAGAAGCCCCTCTGCCCACCGAGGGAGGGGGGTTTGCATTTCTCACCCTTCCCCGTCTCCGTCCCGTGTGCCCTGGCTGGGGCAGGCAAAGCTGCTGGGGAAGGCACATCCCAGCCTGATGAGCATTACTAATTGTTCTACCTCCTGGTGCAGCCCGGTGCCCCGGGGGGCAGAAGCCCCTCTGCCCACCGAGGGAGGGGGGTTTGCATTTCTCACCCTTCCCCGTCTCCGTCCCGTGTGCCCTGGCTGGGGCAGAGCTGCGGGGCCGCACGAGGCCACGGGGCACACACAGAGCAGAGTATTTTCTTACAAACTAGTGGCAAAGTTCAGAGGACACAGCAGCTCTGGGTAGGGAGCAGCTGCCGTGAGCGCAGTATTTAAAGGAGGGCAAACCCTGTTCAACTTGAGCAAATGATGGTATTTTGAAAGTAATTTATTTTTTTCAGACGTGCCGCGTGGTTGGATTTATCTTTTCACTGAGTTCAGTTTCCTTCAACCAATGTGCTTTGTAAACCTGTGTGATGTGTGTGGTCTGTGGGGGGGGCTGAGGCGGCTGTGGTGGTGCTGGGAGGCTGGTGACCAGGGGGGTCACACTGCTGGTGGGACAGCTCCACTGACATCCCCCCATTGCCTCCCAAAACTGCTCCAGGGCTCAAGAAAAGGCTTTTGCTGGGGCAGCCTCAGGGGGTGTGGGGGAGAAAGGGACCAGGGCAGCCATGGGGGTGGCAGCTGGACCCAGGACCCCCATCCCAGCTTCCCACCTTCCCTGCTGTGAGGCAGGGGCCAGGCAGCACCCACAGCATCACTCCTGTGCCAGGCAGGACCCCAGAGGGCACCGGTACCTCCATACATCCCAGCACACGCCCCATCCCACAGCACCATCTGCCCCATCCCCAAAAGCCCCAGGATGGGTCTGGGGCGTGGCACCCTCTGACCCCCCCCCAAACTACCTCAGTCCCTTTACCAAAAAGCTGGCACATGCTTTCCCCCACCCCAGGCAAGACCCCCCCAACCCTAGCCAAGGGGTCTTGGCTGCTGCCAGCGGCAGCCCCAGGCAGTGGGAGGAGGTGGGGGTCCTGGGTGGGTGCCGTGCCACTCCAGTGTGCCCCCCTCGTGGACCAGAGCCACCAGCTGCCCTGTGGTGCTTTGGTTGTTCCTTCACCTCCTGGGTTTGAAATGTTCAGCAAGAATTCAAATAAATTCCAGTTCTTCCCCCCCTCCCCACATCCCCACCCCAAGATATCCGTGCCACCACCACAAGATCTGTGCCACCACGACATGCCACAGGACAGTGAGGTGTTTAATGGCTGCTGGCACCGCACGGTGGGAGGGCATCACACGTGGGTCAGTGTGGGACAGACCCGCTGGGGCCCCCCCAGCCCTACACATCCCTGCTAGAAAAGCTTTAAAAACACTTTTCAGAAAACTGCTTATAAAAATTATTTGACTGTTCCTGAGCTGTGTTGGCGACGCCGGGTCCTGTCCCTCCAGGTGACACGGGGCTGGGTGGCCCCCAGACCCCCCTCTACTTGCCCAGGGCTTTGTCCAGGTTGTTCTTGATGGCATCCAGGAAGTCGGTGGTGTTCACAAAGTGCTCGTTCAGCTTCACACTGTGGGTGTAAAGAGGGGCTGGAGGGGTCCTGCAGCCACTGGGGGCCCTGCCTCCCCCCCCCCCACA